GGTAATTAAACTTTTATTACTAAAAAACTACTAACAACTAAAGCGGGTACGATAATGAAACAGACTAATATATGTTAGATATACGCAATCCAAAGAGCCTGTGATCGCTGTGAGGGATCTGTGGAAAGACTTTGAGTCCGTGAACTGTGAGACAGTGACATAGGCAACTGTGGGAAGGATACAATCAATAATACGATGAAATAACCAAAATGCAATCAAAAATGAGAAGTAAAATAAAATATAATATAAACTCATAGCAATGGTCGTTAAGCTGTGTCAGCCACTTATATATGTAAGCGAATGTATACAAAACAACGGTATGCATGAGAACATCACAGATAAGCAAACAGCTAACAAAACAATAGATACGAGCCTGTGAGAAACTTCGCGCTTCTGCCGTTGTTAGTCATGCGGAATTCTTCGGGCGCAAAGTACAATACGAACATGGAGAGTTCGTATACAATCAGATAGAGCAAAAAAAAGTGCAATGCAACGCAATTTTTCCACATTTATAGTTGGTTTTCAGAATTTTTGAAATTATATTTCTGATACTATCAAATCACACTTTTGGTCATTCATAACTTGAGAACTTCAAAAGGCGCACAGCTAAGATGTGACTAGACGCAGCCTTTCTCCTATTTGTGAGTGATGTATCGTCGTCTCCCCGGTGTACGTTGGGCGGAGCTTTTGCGGACATTTGGACACGTTGGTAAACTTGTTAACCATCTACTACAAAGCACTGTTTGTTGTAATCTCTCGCTACCAATTCCGTCACATATGACAACAGCATATATGCGTGGCAGTTTAGAGAGTACAAAGAACCATGCTTTGCAGTAGAGGTTTAACAGTTCTTGAACGTGTTCAAATGTCCGCAAATGCTCCGCCCAACGTCACCGGGGAGACGACGATATCTCCTTCCCAACTGTGAACTCTTTGGCAATTAAACTATCATAATTTTTTTTGAAACCGCCCAGGCAGTGCCAGTAAAAAGCAAGACTTGATATTTGCGCTAAGCACTCGATTGTTTTGTGAAAATAGTGTGTAATAATAATTAGTTTAGTTTCTGAAAGTCAAATTTCAAAGCTTTCTTAGTGTTTGAAGCGTTTGTGTATTTTCCGACTTTGCAAAAGGAAGGCTTTTGGAAAAACTGTTTTCAAAGGAATGCCCATTGAGGATGCCAGAAAATCGCATTGCATTGCACTTTGTTTACGATCTAACTGCTGTCAAAGCCTTCGCAAGAGTTCAGAAGAAAAATCTGAAAAATTGCCAAATCTGGACACAATAAAATCATGAGTTCAAAATTTCGGTAGTTATTTCATTGACCACGAGGGTAAGCAGCAAGTGAACATAACTGTTTGAAGAGGAGGAAAAGCTGCGTCGAACAGTTTTTAACCACTTGCTTGCGATTATGCGTGTCTCTATGACAGTAAAAAAACGGTAAAACTTGCGGACCAACCTAATATACCCTATTCATGCATATCAGCCTTAAAATGACACCCTTATTTCAGTTTTAAAAAACACACTTGTACAACCACAGTCGACCCGCATTCGCTCCACGTCAGAATGAAGACGCGACAGTGCCGGACCGAGAAGGGGGTGGGGAAGGGGATTGAAATTTACTTACGTGGGTTATAAAGGAGCGCAAGTGACTTGTTTATTCCTGTGAACACCCGCTAAAATTTTGAGAAGCACCCCCAAAGATTTTTCGGAGTGCCTTTATTTAAAAGAATTTTTTTGCCCCCCTCCCCTCCGGACGGAAATCCTGGGATCGCCACTGGAAGACCGAAGACGACGAAGATGAAATCAAGAACTTTGAAGATCAATTTCGTCTCATATTAGCTCTACCTCTTTACGTTCTTTAGTTTAGAATTGTTTTTAATTATCATCACGCTGATTAGAAGAAATGCATCACCATTTCCCATAGCTTTACTATTGTGCTCATGCTTTAGTTTTGCTCAAACTCCTAATACTTGAAGAGCTGAGGTCACTTAATTCCCGTTGATCTGTATAAACACTGATAAGTACTATAAACTTGAAAACGGGGTATGAAATCATTCCAAAAATTCTCTGAAAGGCAGCGTCTCGCTAAAGTGGAGGTACCGGCTTTCCGCAGAAATGTAAACTTAGACTCCTACCTAACTGAAGTTCGGTGCGAAGAAGAGTCCACCAAGCCTGAAATTGCCTCGAATATGGCGCGGATCTTACAGTAGGCCCGGACGCCGACCACAGAGCAATTTCGAACTGCAACGCCAGAGCACGCATTGCGTACGCAGTCATGAGCGCAGGTTCCCGCAACGATTCCGCATCTAGCCTTGGCAGCTCTCGTGCTCACCCCGGCCTACCCTAATATCCGGACCTTTTCGAAGCAAATTTCATGCTTGTTAGACCCCCTTCTTCGCTTCAAACATTAGTCGTCGCTTAGGTAGCGGGTCTACTTCAGCATTACTACAAAAACCCGGCACTCGGAATGCTGCCTTTAAGAGAACAGTGATGAGTGCAAGTTTGCACCGTAGTTGAGTATCAACATCAATGGGTCTCGCGCTGAAGCTCAGATTCTCTCCGGAAGTCCCGCAGTCATTCCGTCGCTACATCAGCAATCTCTCTGGACAGACCGCGTTTAAAGGCCCTTGCTTTGTTTCACCGTAAGTACAGTATAAGGCAGCTAAAAGCCTTACTAAACCTCGTATGGCATAAGATTTACTAATATAAATTTTTTTGCGTATTTGACCGTCCTTCGTATTTAGCATTTATTACCACTCGATTATTCAACCACTTTCACCAGGTTATCCGCACATTGGTGTTGAGTCAACAATGAGCTGCTTAGAAAATAACTTTCTGCGCAAAATATATTGAGTTTAGGCACGCGCCATAGTTGATTTGCTTGATCCGCTTGATCCGTTTCGTATAAGAAGCGCGCCATGCGTAATTTGTTGTTTGGTGTAGCGCACAGCGAATCGCAACAATATAAAAAATTATAACCTACGCAACAGCAAGCAACAAATCATTCAAGGCGCGTTTTGAACACGAAGCGGACCAAGCGGATCAAGCGGATCAAGCAGATCAAGTGGATCAAGAGGATCGACTATGGCGTGTGCCTTGGACAAAGTTGCAGGTCATCAAAGCAAATGGCCAAACATGTAATTTTGCATCATTTAATGCAGTGCTTCCTCTTTTTGTGAGAGTGCGAACAAAATTTTGCGTCGCAAATTTCCATTAAAACAAAAATTCATTAGACCAGCGTAGCCCATAATCAGTTCGATCCTACTGTCAACGTCCACTTGTTTAGGCTAATGATTTTAAAGTCAAGTAATATCCAATCACTTCACTTAAAGACAAAACTGTACTTTCCTATTTACTATTTTGAGACCAGTTTGATTAAAGGCTGCGTCACAATGAGTGGGAAATTATTTGGAAAGCCCGAAATTCCCTTGCCTTTTTTTTCTGCCGCCATTCGTAGAACATTGCCCGACGGGGAGCATAAGTGTCCAATCCAGATTTTTTCTCGTCATTTTCATTAGCTATGGCTTAATCAATTTTAGCCTTGCATAGCTCTAATTTACCCACATACTCGTCTAAGCTTTCTGCCAAACGATGCGAAAACTTTGCTGTGTATATCTTCTTCTTTTTTATTTGCTTCTTTAAAGGCGGTAATTCATCCAACGAATGATGGGGTGGAAAAGCAGGAAATGAGCTTGAGGAATTTTTGAACATTCTCAATGGCCTGTTGCCCGTAAGATCGCCTCTTTCTAATGATGAATCTAATTAATGCTAGCGTATGATACCTATTTTTCGTTGCAAACTACATTCATAGAAAAAATCTCATCCTCTAACAGATGATTATGTATCGGCATGCATAAATTTTCCAGAAGTGCCGAAATACTCTACAAAAAAGCGAATTTATCTTTTATAACATAAATTATTTCAATTAATAAGATCTGCCCGCTCTTTTTGTAGTTAGATCACGTGAGAAGATATATAGAAAGGACTGTAAAGTAGATACAGGCAGCTCGAAAAGTCCCTTACCTCTCAATAAACAACACTTCAAAGTTCAGTTTACTATCTAAACTTATATTAGAAAAATAAATATAATCCATAGCAGTTTTTCCTTAAATAACCTCTGAGTTTTGCAATGAAGAGCCACAAACATCGGAAAAACTTCGCGCTTTTTAACACGTTTCGGACCGCGAAATCGCGCGCGGCGAAAAAGAGTGTACTTTCGGCCGTTAGCCAGCAAAGGAACCTTATTTCGCAGCCTGTGGGCCACATTTGTAATCAGCATGTTAGATAAGCTCCATATCCAAAGTTCTGCGTAAATTCGAAGTGTTTGAATTTTGTCGCTTGAGAGAGTCTTTTGTGCTTTCTTGAAAGATAGGAACAAGAACTCAGATTCTAATAGTATTCAAAGGTATCTATGTTGTACACGGCACACATCAGTATTGAAACTACGGGCTTTCTCTTTGGTATCGAAGCAAAGGAAAGTTGCGACGTCGCACGCGTCGTTCGCGTCGCCGCACTTCGTTGCAATTGTTGTTCGATTTGTGCTCATATCTCCTAAACAAATATCGGAGGCACAACTCTACAAAGTCATTTGAAAAGTAGGAGGTTAGACCTTTAACTTAACAACTTTAGACTAAAAGGAAACCTCCTGCAAACGCCAGAAAGATCCCTCAAAGCAGCGTGCTGCACCATGTGCAGCACCGGTCCGAAACGTGTTAAACAAGCCGTACAAAACCGCTAACAGTGCTGACGCAAACAGTGTCCATCAAGCACTACACTTTGATGCGCCCGTGATTGTCAGGATGTACAGCCCTTAAAACGATTTAAGCTATCCATTGATAAGTTTAGGTGTACTCACATAATCCACAGACCAAAAGTTTATAACTTTTTGGTCTACAGTTGGCTGCATCGAGTAGTGATCGAAATCTTGTTTGATGATGCTTCAAGTTTTAGCGATTCTCGCAGTGAGTCGAATATTCGTTATTTACAACAGGTTCAAAAAGATGTTTAAGAACTTACAAAGCATAATTCACTGTGCTAAAACTCTGCCTGGCTTTTCTAACAAGTGCCTTGGTCCAACGCTGCAAGTAGCAATAGTAAAGGGATTCGATCAACAGCTCAGAAAAATCAACAAGAGCAACGTGAACGTAGTTCGTCTCAAATAAATCTATCATTTCCCAAGTTTATATCAACAGAGAAAAATTAGCGCAGTACACTTTCAGGGCTATACATGCGCTCTCGAAGAGTGGAGGCCTAAAAGAAGTTTTGAGTTTATCGCTAACAGTAGTAATGAGACTGACGTCAGCGAGAATGCTGCTAAAGCATTTGGAGAGAAAGCAGCGAACTTGATGGTAAGAATTTGTTTAGTCATTCTTTCGATTTGAAACCATCGTTTTTTTTTGTTTTTGATACTATTCTGATACTACATCACCTTGCAATTTGTCTATATAATTCGTAGAGGTAAATTGATTTTAATGCGACATTTCCATCAAAAACGTTTAGTTGAAAGATGCATAACATGTATTTTCCTTGCGTCTAGAATCTCATTACCCATGCTAAGTAAATTATTGATTACCTTAAATGTAAAAATGAATTTATATTTGTCTGTATGAAAGTATAGGGTTCTGCATGGCGAAGTCGTTAAGTTTGCGGTCATTACACACGCAGGATGCCACAAGCCTTCAAACCAGTTTAAAATCCCATACTTTTCAGAACTATCTCAAGTGATTGAAAGCTAACATGTGATAGCAAAGCGTTTGAAAGAAAAAAAAACGATAAATGCGCGAGCAATGGCCACAACCGGCTTTCGCGTTTATGCAGGGGCTTAGACCACGTATCGAGCAAAAATTCCAGTTCCTAACTGATTGGACCGAATTTCGCACATATACATTTTGTGTTGGTGTCGCATCCATCGGGACATCGTTACATCGGTTTTTGCAAACTTTATTCCATTGGCTGGAAGTAGGCACACTGGATAATTGAGCATGCTGATTACGAGACGTAGTGAGGGCAGATGACTGGAATACAGAGAGAAGAGATATAATAGATATAATAAATTTGCAGAGAAAAAGGAATAAAGACCTATCGTAGTGTAGTGACGGGACCGAGTTGAGCCGGAATGCCAACTAGTGGACTAATAAGCGAACGACTTTTTACATCTGCTACACCAACAAATCTTCACGGAACTCAATCAAGAGCCTTGTTGAACTACCCTCGATTTGAAAAACAATGATTGAGAGCTGTGAAGCTTTATTTGATTGTGTTGTCGGATTTTAACCAGCATTATCTTCATAGAGACTAGCGTATAGGTGATTCATAATACGCAGGATTGGGCACCGTTGCGTTTGACCAAGATACTTTGTGCATGGAAGAGACAGTAATTGTTAAGTGAAACGAGAGCGTTCGATCAGAGAGGCGCCGATACATCCGCGGTCTCTGCGTGCTATGAATCGCCTATACTTTTTCTATCATTCAAGACTTTAGTGCACCGAGTGTAACAAAAGGGACTATGGAATTTCGAATAACATTAAATAGCTGCTCTATCACTCAATCAATACTATTTAGAACCCAAGATCTCGTTTCTCTTGGATATTCGTTGGATGCGAAAATTTCATTGTGTACCGATTCCAACGTGTTGTAAACGCAAATTCGAACATAGGAGTGGATACGTTTTCGTGCAGATATGAAGTTGGAGATGTGAGATATGAAGATCCGGAAAACGAAGTGGAGTGCTAACGAGAAAATGGTTAAAAGTCGAAGTGGCCGATCCAGACAAGCTGCATAGCATTAGATGCAGCATAAAACGCTGACTCTGAAACGTCTTCCCTATTTGGTGTTTTGTGGACGAAGCTATAAGCCGTTAAAGACCATTATTTCGCTAAAAAGTGTGCGTGCAAAGTGTAGTGGTCGTACAGAGCCATGTTCGGCTTAAAGGCAGTGTCCAGGCAAATCTGGACCCTTTGGTTTTTTGCGTGGAAACTGATGGGGAGCCACTGACTAAACCACTGCCCGAGTTGCAGCGCACGGGATTCACTCATGCCAGAAAAATCGGCGTCCGAATCGGTCGTCCCCGCGCCGTGACCGTAACACTTCAACAGTCTAAACGCACATCACGGTCCCGGCGCGAAACCATGAGGACAGAATGTAGCGCGGAAACTCGTTGGGAGGGTACGAAATAGCACGGAAAATGAAGATATCTCAAATGTAATCAACGAAAACACCATGAACAACGCGGAAAAGGCAGCCGAGAGAAGCCGCCGCAATAAACTTGGAAAACAAGGGCAATTTACGAAAAGCAGAAGAATTAGGAATTTGCAGTATTTGTGCAACGAGTTTGCGTGCTACATCCTGTCCTCATGGTTTCGCGCCGGGACCGTGATGTGCGTTTAGGCTGTTGAAGTGGTACGGTCACGGCGCGGGGGCGACGGGCTCGGAGGCCGATTTCTCTGCCTTGAGTGAGTCCCGTGCGCTGCAATTCGGGCAGTGGTTTAGTCAGTGGTCCCCCATCAGTTTCCATGCAAAAAACCAAAGGGTCCAGATTTGCCTGGACACTGCCTTTAATGCTCCGCCAAAACATGCAGCTAGGTAACTTCATATAGCCTATGCCTAAGGCCCCGGGCAGACTTCACGCGATTTGATCGTCGCGACTGAATCGCGAGGAGACAACTGTTACAACATCATTCCATGCAGATCAACTTGCATTCGGTTGTGATACTTTTCCAGACCGAAATTTTTGAATGTGAAATGAAAATGAATGGAAATCTTGGCGATTTGGTCGCGACGATTAAGTCGCGTGAAGTCTGACCGGGGCCTAAGGCTGCGTTCACACTGATCCGGAAGTCTAGGAACAATTCCAGCACAGCGCTTAAAGTGAGCGCTGTGCTGGAACTGTTCCTAGACTTCGGGATCAGTATGAACGCAGCCTATAGGGCTAAAAGGGCAACAATGTGCTCAATTTCGCGATTTTTATGCACGATTTTCTCGATATGACTGCTCATAATTCGCCTACAAAGGCGTTAAGCAGACATAGACAACATATTCGAAATCTGCGTTTTATGCTGATCGAATGGTATGCTGCATATTTGAGTTGGCCACTTCGACTTTTGACCATTCCTTTGTAAGGGAGCAGTCACCAATACTTTGAACACTTGCTTCTAGAGAAGCAGCAGATTGCTGTGACCCACAAGCATTACGCATAAAATTGAGCCTACTCTTATCGCTGTGATCGGTTGTTCTTTTCTCCATTTTACGTATATAGCATGATTAAGTGCTTGTTAAATTTTCTTATTTCCTTATCATATTTGCCAATTTTCTCTCTCAATTTTCACTTGTTTTTTTTGTTTTTTCCTGTTTTTCTAGTAGAACTTATCGATGTGTTTTTGGGTCGAATCAAAAAATCACGCTCTCGTATTTTATAATCAATGTCAACCATGCGTTCTTTTTTTTGCTTTTAATTTTGAACAGTCATTGCTTTCTTTCATTAGAGATGCACTACGATAATAGTGCGCTATTAAACCACTCAATGAGCTTTGTTTGGAGGCAGTGGAGCCCTTGAAAATGGTTAGCGTACGGAAGCGTTTGAAATGTAGCTAGTAAAAATCTGCATCAACTTTTTAACATTCGAATAAATTTTCAAATCTCGTAGAAAATCAAATTATCTTAATTGTAACGGTGCTACGAGCCAACTTGAAGTAATAGAGTCGGCTTAACTTTGAATGTGGTCATAAGTTATAAAACCCCTCCTCTGTTTGCCACATTGTTGCAATAGATGCAAAAAAGAAGGGTACCATAAGTTAACTTCAAAAAATCACGGGACGCTCAAAGTTTCAACCACAATAAGTTTACATAATTCCTGCAGACTAAAGGGTTTCAAAACTAAGTTGTATACTAGCTGTCTGCAGTGGAGATGTATGATATTTAAGCAGCAGAAGTCCTCAAACATCACAGAGTGCTTACGCAAACAGAATAAAATCTATACACATCGAAAGGAAGGTACAAAAGTATGAGGTAAAGATGATTTAACGAAACCATTGTACACGCCTACAAGACCGAGTTTTCCATCACTCTGGTCATAAAAGAACTAGATAAGTATTGTGACACTGCTTGACTTCGAAATCAAAGATGATAGGCTCGCTAGAAAATTCGGGAACATTGCTACGACCGTAAGCAAAAGCAAGGATTTCAAATATGGTCAGATTCCATCATTGCACAGTGATTCTTTTGTATACATCTTTATTTATTTATATACAAAGGTCAACTCAAATCAGTCAGTATATACAAGGTGTCTCTAAAAATATGACGAATGTTTGGTCGCTATCAACTTTCATGAAACATACATATTTTGCGGGCATTCAGACATTATTTGTAAGGCCGGCTTTAACTTATAACAGTACAAAACGATTCATCTATTGCTTACCGCTGTAGAATTACGGTAGAATAAATTTGAAAGGCTTTGTTGCTACTGGACGCCGAAACTTACTTCAAATACGTAATTTCGTATACAGCACTAACATTGCCACTTTTGAGGACTGCTTTTCAAAAAGAACCGACTTGAAAGCGGGCATTGTTAACTTTTTTTAATCACTTTGGAGTAATTATTTGAAAACAGCACTGTGGGATGCATTTAATGTCTGATCATCTATGTTTAGAAATTCGAAGAAAAGACACTTCGTGCTGCGGCGACATGAACGCGATGTAGCACCGGAAGTGAGGCATCAAAAAATTTCACCGAACTGTTCTTAGTTTTCTTATATTTAGATTCAATATGCTCTATCCTTATGTGCAAAAACTGAAAAAGTCGATTTTTCATGTGCTGAAAGGCAGAATAGACTCGCTTTGCGTCGGAAGAGCTGCTTTGATATAATTGCCTTCATACTTATCCTCGAAAATTTTTTATTTTCACTTTTCAGTGTCTTCTGGACTATCCGCTAGTGTCCTATTCCAGATACTCATTTTGAATAAGTTACGCTTTCTAAATCTTATTGTACTCTTTTGCACCTATTGGATAATAACGACCTTTATACTCATTGAACAAAATTTTGAGCTATTAGGTTGGCACATAAGTAATGTAACTTTTTTTAGACTTTTGTCTTTCAAATGTGGCGCATCCATTCTTCGGCAATGTAAGAAGTATGATGTAAGCTACTGGCACCGAATTTCGCCTTCTTATGTAAGGGTTACGCTAGATTTACGGTGTAAGGGTAAAACTTTTAGATTGAGCCAAATTTTGTTAAAACTTACAAGGGAAGCGTGTATAGGCAAAGTGGCCTTTTCAGATGAGACCCATACTGCTTTGGGGAGTATTAGACGGTGATTCCAAATCTGCCTTCATTATCTGTCAAGCGCCTCTAGACTCCGAGTTATGGGCCTTTTTTTGGTCAAAAAAATTAAATTGGGGAAAAAAATTGGAGCAAAATCGCCCAAATTCGCTAGTATGGTTCCGGTGTCGAGTACTAGAGCAGTTCATAGATTGGTTACATTTTGTTAAGTATGCTAATATTTAACAGTGCTTTATCTGAGCGTTGGAAAGATTGTAACAGTTGTTTTTACCTAAATTCGGCAATCATTTTTCGTTCCAAAAAACGGTCATAACTCGGTGTCCAGAGGCACTTGGCAAATAATGAAAACAAGTTTGGAGCCAGCATGCAATGCTCTTCAAAGTAGTATGAGTGTCATTTAGGAACGCCACTTCGACTAGACGCGCTCTCTTGTTAGTTCATGTGAGTTACTCGACATGCTGATTACAAAAATGATATCCAGCTCATACGAAAAGGTTTTCTTTCGTAAAATCAGGGTATGGTCTTTCGTTTCAGCAACAGATGATTATGATATTCGTACTCAGCATCTTGAATTACCTACTGTACAAACTCTTGCCAAATTTTGAAGTCGCAGCTTAGTTATAACAATACCATTTCAAATTCAATGCATTTGACCGGTCAAAGTTCTCAAAAACGCCAGATTTTAATCTGCTTTCAAATTTCACTCCTCTTTCCCCCCCCCCCCCCTCCCCTCCCCCTCCGAGAATGGCTCGCAAAATTTTTGAAAGTTACTTACGTGAGTTATAAAAAGTGTAAGTGACTTATTTATAGATGTAAGTAACTTTGAATTTTTAAAAATTCAATTTAGCCTCATAAAAAAATTTTTCTGGGGCGTGGCTGAGGCCACGCCCCCTTTTTCTAAAATTTTGGGGTTATGGACCCGGAAAAATTTTGGGAAGCATACCAAAAATTTTTTTTGGTGCATGGCTAACGTTATCACCAGAAAAAAATTTTTGCCGCCACCTCCCGAGCGGAAGTCCTGGGTACGCCACTGACTAGAGGGTTTCCGTTTTCGGGATCTAGAGGGCCGACTTTCTGCGCTTGCACAATTATGAGCACACGCAGTTTGAAGGCAAATTTTGCATATGGGTGGCCCTCTTCTCAGAGGTATAGTTTCCACAGGGGTGGATTGTTTGGCTCCGAGTTTCCAATATGAAAAGAAGAGGTTTTGGGCTCTACAACTATGCTAAAAAAAGCAAGGCCAAGTTGGTGGAATAACAATTAACCTTGCCTAAAAGATTCCGGGAGAGTCCAATGCTCCGAGAAAATGTCAACTCAATATCGCGTTTTCTAAGTCACATCAGAGTAAGCAAGTCATAAATTGAATTGAATGATTACCTGAATTGATAAATCACCGTGTACTTAAAGGCAGTGTCCGGGCAAAAACTCGCTTTTGAGATTTTGCACTTATACGGGCCT